ATCACAGTGCAAGGACTAACATGATCATATTAGTACACGCATAGACTCCATCTTTCTCTTTCTTTTTCACATACACACACTTGCATAGACTTATAAATAAATATGTATATGAATCTCTAAGAGGTTACAAATAATTACGTTGTCAGGGTTTTCTGTAACGCGATTCGCTAATGTAATGTATTCTATCATCACTGTATGTCCCACATTTGTATCTCTGTGCCATACTCAGCTAAGTCATCATTATAAACACACCTGTTTGACATTCGTAAGACAGATGTTAGCTACGTGCAAATAACTCCAGGTAAAACAACTGGTTCTGACTATGTAGTTTTTATTTTTAAGTACTTGAAATGAAAGTTTTATAAGGTCATGTTTATTTTAAGAAAAGGTAAATAAAAATAAAAAGAAATGGTTACTAATAAAATACTGAAAAACTTCTTGCCGAATTTGCAAAGGTTAAAATCGGATTTTCCTGACCACTCTCTCTCTCTCTCTATCTCCCCTCTCTATCTCTATCTCCCCCCATCTCTCTCTCACTGTCTCTTTCTTTCTGAGAACCTTTAGCACATTTGTAAATACCAACCGCGGCATAAAATATGCTAAGATCTTATTGCGATAAGCACACCTACCCATGTGCTGACAGTCAACAGCTCTGAATGACAGTTTGAATATATTATTTCAATTTAAGTATTTCATGTGTTGTTAAAAAATAACGGAGAAGCTTTTAAAATAAAATTAAACGCATTTAGAAACGATCTGGAATATTCATCTAAGTATTAAAAAAAAACCCTTAAAAAATGAACACAAATACACGATCCTTGTGACATGTAATATAGACATACTTCTGGTCCAATTGGCCCATTTGTTCATAATAAATTAATAATAATAATAATAATAATATGGATTTTATTATTTCTTTTTTGCATTCCAATAGATTTTTGAATTACTGAACTCGTTCTTTGTGTTCTTGATGTTATTACCACAGTGTTCCTGTCGATTCATTCTTCAGCCTTTTTCGGATGTACAATCTACAAAAAAAGAGAGGGCTTTTTTTCTTTTCTTTTTTTTTTAACAAAAATACGTGACAAATAAAAAAAGAAAGATTTTAATCTTAATTTCTTGGATTAGGAGTTATCATTATTTAGATTATTTACACTCGGACGATTTTCTTTATCTTTGTTGTTATTATCGCAATCTTTCGGTCGTTGTTCCTTTCATCGGCTGCTTGTTGATCTGGATAATCTGAGAGTTTCGATATGGACTTTATTTAATCGGTGCTACTATAGTATAAGTCTACCACGACATCAAACACTATAGCATTTGGTCTACCTCATTCACTACTATAGCACGCGGTCTACCTCATTCACTGCTATAGCACGGGGTCTACCTCATTCACTACTATAGCATGCGGTCTACCTCATTCACTGCTATAGCACGGGGTCTACCTCATTCACTGCTATAGCACGGGGTCTACCTCATTCACTACTATAGCACGGGGTCTACCTCATTCACTGCTATAGCACGGGGTCTACCTCATTCACTGCTATAGCACGGGGTCTACCTCATTCACTGCTATAGCACGCGGTCTACCTCATTCACTGCTATAGCACGGGGTCTACCTCATTCACTACTATAGCATCGGGTCTACCTCATTCACTGCTATAGCACGGGGTCTACCTCATTCACTGCTATAGCACGGGTCTACCTCATTCACTACTATAGCATGCGGTCTACCTCATTCACTGCTATAGCACGGGTCTACCTCATTCACTGCTATAGCACGGGTCTACCTCATTCACTGCTATAGCACGGGTCTACCTCATTCACTACTATAGCACGGGGTCTACCTCATTCACTGCTATAGCACGCGGTCTACCTCATTCACTGCTATAGCACGCGGTCTACCTCATTCACTGCTATAGCACGCGGTCTACCTCATTCACTACTATAGCACGGGGTCTACCTCATTCACTGCTATAGCACGGGTTCACCTCATTCACTGCTATAGCACGGGTCTACCTCATTCACTGCTATAGCATTTGGTCTACCCCTCATTCACTACTATAGCATGCGGTCTACCTCATTCACTGCTATAGCACGGGGTCTACCTCATTCACTGCTATAGCACGGGGTCTACCTCATTCACTGCTATAGCATCGGGTCTACCTCATTCACTACTATAGCACGGGGTCTACCTCATTCACTACTATAGCACGGGGGTCTACCTCATTCACTGCTATAGCACGGGGTCACCTCATTCACTGCTATAGCACGGGGTCTACCTCATTCACTGCTATAGCACGGGGTCTACCTCATTCACTGCTATAGCATTTGGTCTACCTCATTCACTACTATAGCATGCGGTCTACCTCATTCACTGCTATAGCACGGGGTCTACCTCATTCACTGCTATAGCACGGGGTCTACCTCATTCACTGCTATAGCACGCGGTCTACCTCATTCATTGCTATAGCATGCAGTCTATCGCTTTATCTAACACCATAACGTATATAGCAGAATGTTCTCGTAAAAAAACGACTGTTGTTTCCTCGGTCAAGATGACACGTCTATAAAATTCTTTCAGCAACATTTTAATCTGAAAGAGTTTATTCAGCTGTTACTAACGGTTTCAAAGCCCAATTTCCTTCCTTTTATGTGTACAGGACATACGAGAGGTGATGGTAGAATTCATTGTGGTTGACCGCAGAGGGACAGCATGAGGGGAGACGTGAGGTAGCGCGGTAGACTGCATATTATTGTAGTAAATTTGGTGACATAATAATTGTGAGTTCAATTCCTTTGCCGGGTTGTGTAGACTCAGACTCACTGGAAAAGAAGCCGAGCAATTACTGAGCCGCGCTAAACAAGAACATGACAAGATATCCTTAGATATGGACATCAGAATGAGAACGAGCTCACCACCACCGTAGATTAAATAAAGTTCGAAATTCTAAAGCACCTGATGAAGGCCGGAGAGCCCAACGGCTGAAGCTTTATAATAACAACAACTAAGATGAGGATAATAGTCTGATTGTAAATAATATATATAGCAGAAAAGATATTATAACCGGATTGGCCCATTTCCAGCAACAAGTACTGCATGAATTATATCATTCTTAGGAGTTCCCGTTACACGAGTGTGTCGGTATTTACACACAGGAATGATTTCTAATGTTTTACATCGCACTGGAATGTAGACTTATTGTGAAGGTTTCGCTTTAATTTGCACAGGCTTCTAAATAATTGTACTGGAATGTCAACATTCGAAGAGTTACTAAACCCTGCTTTTGAACAATTTATCGTATAATCTGGAAAATTTTAATGTACAAATTTTGTGTGGAAAATGTGCCGCCATTTAATATTAATGATAAATTAGTCTATGTATGAAAAAGGTGCCTGAGTCCGCTTCAGTACACATATCCCAGCGTCCTTTTCATTCTTAAAAAAAAACAAAAAAAAACAACAACAAAAAACAAGCAGTCTCAGCTAGAATTGAAACTTGGTTTGCTGATTCATTTTTCATATTGATAAAACCTTTCTACACTATTTACTTTATTCGGACTGCTGTCTTCATTCTCCCTGTATTCTATATATGTAATAAATAGAAAGGTTTTCTGTCTATATTTCTGAGATGAGGTATTATGTACACTATTTACATTATTCGGACTATTGTCTTCATCTTTGTCGCCATATTTACCACAACGTTTCAGCCGTTGTATGCTCCGGTCTTCTTCAGGTGGTTGGAATGTCGAACTGAACCCTTTATTTCGCTCACTGAGGTAGACTGTTCTAGTTCCACATGCAATGTCTAATAGATGCCAGTTATTATCTCCTGTTGATTCCCCACTCCAAGTTCTCCACCGCCTTAACCATGTATTGAACTCACACTTTTTGGGTCCTGTCACTGGTCTAACTAACGCCTTTATCCACTGTGATAATTGATAACTGACATCCATTAGACATGTCACGTGGAACTAGAACTCCCCAGTGAGCGAAATAAAGGGTTCAGTTCAACATTCCAACCACCTGAAAAAGGCGTACAACGGCCGAAACGTTGTGATAAATATGGCGACAAAGATGAAGACAATAGTCCGAATAATGTAAATAGTGTACATAATACCTCATCTCAGAAATATAGACAGAAAACCTTTCTATTTATTACATATATAGAATACAGGGAGAATCGGGTTCATGCGTTTACCGAGAGCACTTTTGATAAGTAGTAGTAGTAATTTTGTCTAATGATTGACATTGCATTTACATTTTTGAAGATCAAAGTAAACTGAAGATCAAAGTCTGCTTCAGTGCACCTGTCCCAGCGTCCATGGCATTTTCTAAAACAGCCTGCGAAGTCCTCTCTCGGGATTGCCATCAACCGCCTCGTCATGTTCTCTTTAATCCTGGACTGAATTTCATTAGTTTTTGGAATAGCCAGAATTCGCAAGAAGCGAAATTTAGAAGCTGACAAAATGGGTGATGCTATATTTTACAGGAAAACAACTTACACGTAACGTGATGAATGGTTAGAATCATTGTCATAATGTGACAATATACAAGCCCACTGCCGACTAAATATCCCAATGGTGGAGTATCTATTCAGGTCGTCGCAGTAAGGTCCCCACTTGAGTGGTGCGGTATTTTACAAAAAAAAAAACAAAACAAAAACCCCCCAAAAAACAAACAAATATTGCACTTGACGTGTTGAATGGTGATACGCGTTGTCAAAATGAGTGTCAGAGTATGCGAGCCCACCGTCGACTTAATAATCCTACAGGTGAGTATCTGTTCATGCATTCGCAGTTCGGTCTTCTCTGATTGGTTGCAAGTTATACCAAGGCCGCACAACCAATTATTCCAAATATTCAAAATGGCTACATAATTTCCGGGCAGCCCTCGTAAGTTTGTATAAATTCTTTCTTTCTTCAGGTAGATAGCATTAACCTACTGAAATGAAAGTTGTTAAACTCTACATACTTCATATCGTCCTGCATTATTTCTGCATACGTTCATATCACGTTGAAACACCGATTCTCGTCAGATCACCGAAGTTAAGCAACGTCGAGTCTAGTGAGTAATTAAATAGGCGACCGCTTAGAATGTGCAGATGCTCCAGTTGATAAATGCTCAGAATGAGAAGTCGGAGAGCCGAGTTCGAATTCCAGTCGGATTCATTACATTCACTAACTCGCAAATACCTTCGGACGTATCCACTCCTACCAACACACATTAGGCCAGCGCGGTAGGGTAATGGCCCATTCACCCACCATGGGTCTGGGAAAAGCCTGCACGCAGCAAATAAGTAGATTATTTATAATGTCGTGTGTGCGGTTAACTGGTTCTAGTCAAGGTTGATAATCGTTGTATTGCACATGGAGATGCGGGTTCATGCCATTCCCAAGGGGAATAGTGCAAAGTCAATCTGAGCAATCTCAGCAGGAATTTGAATTTCGTTTGTCAATTCCCTTTCCATGATGATAACCATTATACTATTTCCTAACTCTACTACATATATAGAATACAGGGAAATGTGGGTTCATGGCTTTCACTAAGAAAATATAGAAACTCAATCCAAGCAGTCACAGCTTGAATTTAAACTTGGTTAGCCGATTCATTTTTCATGTTGATAAAACCTTTCTATTTATTTCATATATAGGACACAGGGAGAAGCGGATTCATACTTTTATCAAGACGACTTAGGATAGTTAGTAGTATTTTTTTCTCTAATCATTTCACCACAAGCAAGGGTCAATAAAGCCACTTAAGATGCCAAGGGTTACTGAGCGTTAGAGAATATGAGAAAAAGAAACATGATTAAGAAGAGAGAACATTAAAAGAATAGGAATTAAGAAGACAAAAGATAACTGTTGACATTGCATTTAAATTTTTGAAGATCAAAGCTCTGGGAAGCAATAAGTCAAAAGATAGTTCCACATACGAGAAGTGTTGTAATAATAATAATAATAATAATACTAATATGGAGTCGAGTTGGGTAGAATTGACTCTTTGAAATAAAATTATTCCAGTCAACAATAAATATGAAAAAATGTAAATGCAATGTCAATCGCTATCTACTGTCCTCCTGATTGCTCTTTTCCTTTCCCGCTCAATATTATAGTTTCTGTTTCTAATTCTTCCACACCCAGTGACTTCTTGTGTCTTAGTGGCTTCTCTACCTTGCATGGTGTGAAACCGATTTAAAAAAAAAATACCATCGGTAGTGAGTTTAATGGGTAAAATTAGCCTACAAGAGACATGAAATTTGCATATAAGTAAACCTCTATGGAAAAAAAAACGTTATAAAAATACGGCAAATTATTTTTCATGTTCATATCTGATATATAATGTTGAGTCATAAATAATCTCAGTTTTGTTTCTTAAATTTATTCTTAAAAAAAAATATAAAATGACACTTTATTGTATTATATATTCACCATTATTTGTAATGACTTGTTACCAATTATCAGCTCTTCAAACCTTTTGAGTAAGCATTCACTGGTTTTGATTTCAAAAAGTTCTTGATGAAAACTTGAATCTGGCTTTCATTAAAGAAACTCCCCCGCCCCTAAATCATCTTCAGCACTCGAAAAAATTAATAATCGATTGGATGCAAGGTCAGGTGAATATGGCCGGAGCGTGTAGTACAGACCAACCGAATTCCAACATTTTTTTCTATGTTATCCTTGCTGCGTCAGGGAGGAGAACATTTTTTTTATCCACATTGTACGCTGCCATTTTCATGCAAAGTAAGGTATGTTATTTTACTCTGAATTTATTTTTAACTGTTACATAGGTTTAGTAGTTTGCACTATTTATTTAGGGTTATTTGTAATTCTAAATAGTTTCAAAAACAGAAATTAATTATGACTCAAACTATTTATTTTTTATAGTTAATAAATATATTTTTATGGCTTTAAAAAATTAAATTAAAGTAACTCTTTGCGACTTTTAATAAGTTAATATTTAAAAAAAAAAGAAATGGAGTGTTACAGTCAAGGCTTTTTATATATATATAAAAAAAAAACTTCAAAAATATAGAAGGAAACGCAAATAAAAGATTGAATTACACCAGTAAATCTCGCCAGTTGAAATGTATTCACTATCCATCACGCTACAGAGGGCACCAATGTCATGCGTACGGTAAATTCTGCATAATTTAACACTTTCACAACTGCATTCTTATAGCATTGTTGCCTGACTGTGACGGTTTGGGGGAAAATAGGAAATTGCAATTTACTGGAAATAAATGGTTATAAAGACACTGATGTCGATTCTCATATCGGCCTACATTTTAGCTTCAATCGGATTTACTACAGTAAACAACTATGGTAAACGACACCCAAACACACAATATAATAAATATACTACACAAAACCTACTATCGTTTTTCTTTTAATCATTTCACCCCCAATAACGGCCAGAAAGCCACTAAGACGCAAGGGATTGCTGAGTGTGAGAGAATGAAAAAAAAAGCAACAACAAAAAACAACATTATTAAGGAGAACAGACAATAAAAGAACAGAACAGAAAGTAACATTTCATTTTTTTTGTTTTTTTTGAAGATCAAATTTGACTTGAAAGCAAGAAGCCGGAAGAGAGTTCCACAAGTGATAGCGTAAGAGAAGAAAGAGTTATCATAGACTTTACGGTTACATCTAGCCATTTCAATTGTAAAATGATTAGACCAATCTAGTATTACGCTTAAATTCATAAAGTCTAGATACCAACGAGGAAAGCTCAGCCGAACAATTTGCATGAAGTTATTCATAGAAAAGACAGGGAAGACACGTTACGACGGTGGGAAACTGACTGCAACCGAGATAGCAGCTTAAAAAAACCAATAAAAATGCAGATTCTTCTTTGGATTTTATCTTAAAACTTTAAATACATATCAGAAGCCCCAGACTAGATGCAAAATTCAATAAATAAGATTATAATAAACATAAATTCTAAATAAAACTTATGCATTGTCTGAGCTGGTTTAAAAGACAAACGCTTTCATGGTCTATTAAAATGCATAGATAGTTCAACAGCAGGCAATGTACGCCGTGTAAAAACGCATAAGTACACCCTTGTGAAAATTAATTGAAACAAAACGAATAATTTCATTCATCATTTACTTTTTTTTCGTATTTTTCCAATGAAACATGACACAGTGCACATGTTAGTACTTCGTATGTCCATTCCACGAAGTCATTCTTTGCAGATTGACCACAGATTCTTGATTGGATTTAAATCACGAGAGTTTAAGGGCTAGTCTATAGTACTTTGATTTGCTCACTGGTAAGGCTTGATAGTGTGTTCGTGTAGCGTTACAATTTTCGTACGCTTCCTAGGAGTAACGTCCATCGCAAACAATGACCATAGGACAACTAATCGACAGTCGAGACAATTGTGTCTGGGCGTGATAAAAATCTGATGCAATCACGGATGACGCAATATTTTTCAAGACCAAACAAATTTCATCATACACCCCGAAAAGAGATACATATTACTGTACACCACTGCAAATGAGCTAATCTGAGAAAAAATAGAAATCGATTACCCTTTGTCACTCCAGAGGGACTAAAAATGACCGTATGGTGAAAGAAAGGAAACTAAAATGGTTGTTTTAGTTTGCATAAAGGGTGTATATCTACAGCCGCGGAATTGTTAATAATTATAATTTAAAGTTGTTAGTATTTACTGCGTAAGTCAGGGTTTTAATTATAATATTCATTGGTGAAAAGGATTGAATAATATCAAACAAATGGAAAAATAAACGTGAATGGATGAGAAAGTTGGGATTCAACGAGAACAAGAGAAGAGAAGCATTTGTCAATGAAGTGTTCAGAACTATAAAGACGGAACTTAATTAGATGCTAGGTAAGTCACATACTAACGAAATACTAAAGATTGTTCTTTAAAAAACTGTCGACGCCACGAGGAATTCTCTCTGTGAAGTAACACTAGTTCTCTCAATGTTTAAATGTCTGCAACGCTACACGATTCAATTTTAAATTTAAGTATGTTATATGTTTTTAAAGTATGTAATATATTTTTTCATTAAAGTGTGTTATATATTTTAAATTAAAGTATATTATATATTTCCCATTAAATGTGCAGCTAATGTAATTGTTATAGACTCGGAGCGACAAAATCGGCGAGCCATGTTCGAATTCCGTTCGAGATCGCTGCATTCACATTCGCACAAATACTCCTGGAAAAGGTTTAAATCCACCTCTTCTCTCCTCCCAGCTATGGGTTAATTAAAAAGGCAGATTGGACATTCTAGTCGTATATGTCTACCAGTATAGGAGAAGGTGAACTCTAAATTCAATTCCGTATTCGGCCCTTGTAGTGCACGGGAACTGTAACTAACGTCCGCTCAACATAGTTGCAGTTTAAACCACAGTTTTGCTGCTTTGTATTGATAAAACGCCAATAGGTCTGAGTAGATGGGCATGCTGGAAACGAGCAGCTATACTGAAGATGAGGAATCACACTTACCTTCAAGTCGAAACAGCTTTGATGATATATTTTCCGTGTGACGAGTCTACGGTTTTACGCAATTCTCATCACATCACGAAATATTTTCAGGTGACGATTACGTTATTTGTAAGTAACTGAAATAAACGCTTAAATAGAACTTCAGTCATTCCATAAAATAACTCTATCTCTAATTTACATTCGCGAGTCTATTGTAGTATAAAAGATATTGCAGTTTATCTACGAATATGAAACAACATCATTTTTCTCTTTCTTCACCGGTATTAAAATATTGGATACAGTTTATTCAAGATAATTATACTATGAATATTTTTTATATTAAAAGTTGTTCCAATACAAGGTTCGAAAGTTACTCAACGTTACTAAATGAGATGTGTAATATGAATGTAACATAAAGTGGCAGGAAATTGAAGTGTCGATTTGTGAGGATAAGGAGGATATATAACGACGTACTTGCCTTGAAGAGGTTAAGATTTTAGTGTTCAGAGAAGCATCTATGTGTGATTTTTTTTTTTTACAAAGCAATAGTTCCCGATAAGATACTGTCTGAGTGGAAGTTCCTCCTTACAGTTGGAATACGGCGGAAATGAGTGTGATTTAACTCGATGGACGTAACACGGTTA